TGCAGACCGATCGGTGTATGACATCTAAATACCATACAGACGATTCCTTATGCTTTCAAAATGCTCTCGAGGTTTCCAATATCTAGAACCAGCATTAACCAGTCTGTTTCCACTCCTGGCTTCTTAGCTAGCTTGATTATCCAAGACTTACTTGATTGACCAGTTCCACCTGAAAGACCATGCTGGTTAACTGGCTTAACAATCTCACTATGGCTATGCTGGTGCACCAGGTATACTTGCACCAAACCAGCACCCAGATCAACCAGGACCAGCATGGACTTTCATACTAATCTAAGCTGGTTTCCAGCAGGATACACAAATATAAAAAATAAATGTATGTCTAATGTTTTACCATTAAGAGTTATGATGGTCCAGTTGGCAGCCACATTTTGATCAGCAATGTAAAAGGTGAAGGGGTCAGCTTGAGGGGACATGTCCTCATCCACAGCACTAAGCAGAAGGCCCAATTTATCTCTGTCCCGATCACTGCACACTGTCCCACTCAAGGGTATGAGCACTGGTGGGTAATCATTGGTCTCCCACAGATTGACCTCCAATGTAGCTGTTGCAGAGATGCCATCAGCGTCTGGAAAGAGAGTTATCATATGAATGATTACCATTTTTATTAAAACAAAGGCACACTGGTTATTTTGTGACGGCATAGTCACAGTATCAAATATTTTATTCTGCTGTTATTATTTTGGTCTTCAGGTCTGAGGTGCTCACCCTGATCTATGACTTTCACAATAGCAGAGTAAATGTTGTTTCTGACGTGGGGAGACTGGATGTTGAAGGATCTCCTGGCTGTGATTTGTCCAGTTGCATGGTTAATAGCAAGCCAATTCTCAGGATCCTGAATGATTTCAAACCTGAACAAAAATTCACAATCCTAAGTAGGTCACTACACATAAAATTTAGAACATACAGTGTTAATGTATGTAATCTTTCCCTTGTGAAAAAGAAGAGCACTTATTACAGAATTAATACTGTAATTCATTGAAAAATGTGAAATGTTTTTGGGACAATTAACTGCATGTTACACTCTTAAAAATAAAGGTGCTTCACAGTGCCATAGAAGAACCTTTT